GTCAGCGTCAAAAATGTATCATATCCGTGGAATCGCCTTTACAGACAAAGTTTCGACGAAAAACAAAATTTTGAGAATTGGGGGCGGTAATAATGGAATGAATGAATGATGAAAAATGGATATTTTTGGCGCTGCACACATTCGCCCACGTCAATATATCAATAAAGCGTGAATTGTAATGTTCTGCTGTAGTCACGTACAATGCGCGACGCATTGACGCGCTGAAGTGCGTGCTCGCCTCCCACTATTCGTTTTCTCTGCGCTCTCTCAAAGGAGAGAGAATATGTCGAGCCAACCCGCCAACTATACTGAGCGCCGTTCATGTAGGAGGTGGAGGATGGCACGCACGCCGGAGTGGCCTCGCCTCCGCACGAAGCGCGCGCAGCTTTCAGAACGCTGCGACGCTCATCTATTTTCGGATTGCTGCCCAGCGGGTACGGTCGATGCGACGCGCATTGTACGTGACTACGGCAGCAACATCGCAATTTATGGCTTATGTCGTCGAGCACCATGTCTGAAACAAGCAGTATTGATAAAATGTGACAGATAGCGAAGTTCTGAGTACCACTCACGAAACTCGAGCCAAACTGTCACCTGATGGTTTCGTATTCACATGTTCACATGATAGTGCTCGTTTTTCCTTTTTTAATAACGAACAATCCTCTTTTAGCTGTATGATTGATTTGACTTCAGACTGCAAGCGAAGGAGTGAAGGAGTCATTGATAGCGCCGTTCCGCACTCCAGTTCACGACGCTCTGATCGAACAGTTCAAGAGTCTTCGTAAGCATGAAGTAAGTTTCTCTCTGATTACAGCTATCAGCTACAGCATCGCATGAGGCTCGAGCGGAATAAATCTGGCTGCCGGCATTTTCATAATGTTTCGTAAAAATTCCGTCCACCTCAGTGCATGCTCCACGCACCAATAAGAAGTAATTTTTGACTTTCCTCCTTTGCCAACCTCTAGTTTTCCTCGATCTTGGAACCCACTAGAAGCGTAACTACAGCGATTAATAAAACACTCCCCGTTGGGCTTGCGCCCCACCCACCGATAGCGGTTGACTTCTCTTCTTCCATTGGACGCAATCCACTTTTTTCTCGGTCTCGAAACTTCTTCAAACTGAATTGTGAGGATATGCATTAAAGAAAGCCCGTTGAAAGACACGCTTCGCTCATTGTGGACTTTCCTTTCTCTTTAAAAGTATGCTGGGAACACAACCAGACATCGCCTTCCTACGCAGATCTACATACATATGTGACCCTATTCCTTGCAAAGATGCACTTTCATTCTTTGTAGTACTTTCAAATACAATACTTCCTTCTTGAAGGTAGAGGATGGAGCGACTGAACCTGCAAAGAATATTTTATATCATGTTTTTCTCACATATCCTTGTTTTCTGCTGCGCTACACCCTCTCCTATCTGCACCACGATGCCACTGATGTTACTGACCCCAAGAGTACGACCCCCCATGACCCACCCTGACAAATACGACCCCCTGTCGAGGATTTCCTCGACCGATATTCACCCTGCGCGGGAGCAGGACTATGCTCAAAAGCAGTCGCTAGTCACAGCATTAATCTATGAAATGTTTTCGAGGGGTTAGCAAAAAACCAATATGGTTTTTATGCTGGCAAGAATAATGGATTGAATTGCTGAAGACAGATAAGGCATTGTTATCGTTACCGATAGAAAGCATTCCTGCAGAAGAAAGGCATGACTCATCCAGAGGCGGCTTCGTGACCATATCCACGTCAAAAATTGCTGCTTGACGTGTTGAGCAGCACATAGGGACCGCATCATAATCATATCTTATCTGGTCTATTGTATGAAAACACCTGACCACATTTCTTGAAATGACAGTGTGGCCACAAAAGTAAGTGCACTTCAGTGCCTCTTCCTGTTGTATATGGTCGGCCCATATCCTGCGATTGAAGCAGTGATCTTTTGTTCTGAACATTGGTTGGTTGATCAACATGGATTTTTTGGGTGACTAAAAGCAGATAACCGACGCCGGATATTTTGATTCGCTCAGTCCTGAACTCAAAGACTATGACGCTAATAGCCCATATCTGAAACCTACTGATGAACTTCCATTTTTGTTCCCGGGAAAGTATAGGGTTCTGATGAATAGTGTTATGATTGGAAAATGGAAAGCACTCATTTAGTGTGCACATCTTTATCATTGTTTAGAGTGATCATGAGCAGTTCACCTTTGATGATGTGGAACAAGTTCATGAGGAGGATGACAAATCCACCCTTCAACATGATTCCGAGTTACCTGTCGAGGAGCCCGACTACGAGGTAATAGTTTATTACGAAAGTTTTAAACTTTATTCAGTAGCGAATAAATGACAACGGCAACTATGATTGAATGTCCGGAAAAATAGTACTTAGCTGCGAAACGTCTGAAAGAAGCCAGTGAACCTTCAATTTTCTGCTGGCAAAGACCAGCCTTGGAACAAAATTTTTCCTAGAAATTGTCTTATGCCCTGAAAACGATAGGTTCTCTAATTCTTCCATGACTACTGTGGGCGAGTGCGCAACCACGAGGTGAACCGTCGCTTGCAACTCGTAAACGGTTGGCAAACACGATCCCGGTCTAGTAATCTCAGCAATCGATTGCGATTCATTCAAATTATATCTCAGAATCGGTTTATCCACTCCAAAAAAAAATGGAATACTACCCTAAAATCCCATAGATAAGAGCGGTCCATAGATATTTTTTCAAAAATAAAATAAAAATAAAAATATTTTTTCAAAATCATTTTTTACCGGTAAATTAAACCGCTCTTATCTATGGAATTTTACTGATCGAATGGGCTCTTCAAGTTCTATCCAGAGATCAAATTCCGGCATTTCTAGAGAGATTCCGGCAGAAATTCCGTTAAAATCGCTATTTTTCTATATGAATTGTTTATTAAGTGGGCGGGGTTTAGAGTTGAGGGACGGAGCTTCTTCTAAACTTCTTCTCCGATTTTTATTTATCCATCCATCAAGTTAGAGGGGTGACTGCATTCAATTTCAATTTCATTCCAATTCATTTTTCACCGGTAAATTAAACCGCTCTTATCTATGGGATTTTAGGTAAAAAAAAGGAGCTCCAAATGCTGTATGGTGCCCCATACGCCGAAAGTTTTTCCGAACACACTCAGTCCTTCTTATTAATGTAGTATCATAACTTGCTGAAAAGCACTCTCAGTATATTTACCTTCAAGATATTTAGGGCGATGATGAGTATTTCGCCTTCGATAAGGCAAAGCGTGTTGATGAGAAGGAGGACAAATCCCGCCTCCAAAGTGATCCCGACATACCCATCAATGAACTCGAATACGAGGTAATAATTTATTATGAATGTCCTACCTGGAATCGAAGTTTTGAGTGCGCTTAGAGTGTATGGTTTGGGTGATAATAGTGAAGATTGAACAATGAACAATCACAGGCAATACACTATCGCTTCGAGACTAAATGCCAAGCATGACGAAATGGTACGAAACGCATTACTACAGTGCGTACCAAACGTATGTATGTGGACACCCTAAAATTTTTCATTCTCCAAAAACTGTTGACTTCTGCACCATGCGACCACCACCATTCAATTTCTCGTATGCGAAAACCTTAGAATTTCTCATTTCTCACCAATTTACATGCAGCTTTAATTTTTTTTAATTGATGGAAAAACCTTGTATCACTGTACCCCTGTATCAAAAGTATGTGGACACTTTTTAAAAACGGCAATATCTTCAGAATCTAAATCGGTAGGCCTACCAAAGCTTCTAGTAAGTTGAGCCATTCTGTTTGGCATGCTATGAACCAGGTCTGGATACATGTCTTGCAGATCTGTTCCCAACTAGCAAATTTCACCGACGTGTTAGGTCACTTGTGATATTACTCTTTTGTTCAATGACGTAGAGACCGCGAACCACGATACCTCTACGTTTTCAATAAGGATGAAGTCTGAGGAATACGCTAGCCGACTTGCCAATCAAAGCCGTTGCGTTTAGCATTTTTCCAAATGGAATGGTGTCAGGGACCTCCCCTGCAAAACAAGTGATTTGCGACATGACTTTTCGAAAAAGGTTGTAGCCGGGACTCAAGCACCTCATTATAATCCTAGTTGTCTACCTGACATGTTGGCAAGCCAAACTCCAAATTTCCCTTCTTTTGGAACCACCCCAGACTTTGATGAACTTTCTCCAAATTGTCCCGTCGAGTACATCTGCGGGTCCAGAGACAGCGAGATCCACCCAACCAACCAAAGATGAGCTCCTTTCCGCCAGTCGAGGTGGTCTGACAAGGAAATTTCCACAGGAACTCTTTTATTCTAGTCTTGTCATTTCCACGAAAGCGCTGTCTGTCCGCGTTCGACGTCTCATGTTGTGGTACAGTTTTTGAGCAGAAATTACAACCTTCGTCAAGTTTTGATAGGCCTCCATACACAAAGCTTTCTTCATTTTCTATTGTACCATGGCCCATCCGCTCATATACAGGGGGGCCAAAAAAAGACATTTTGCCTATGTCGGACTTCGGCTCTTTTTTCTTCGCAGAGATTGCTGTCGTTGACGGGAGTTCCTCAGCAGAGTATTCCCTAATGTCCCTCTATAAGTGAACGCAGGCCCTCCTTCACTGCCCTCACCGTCTTCAGAATATGACGTCATCTGTCACCGTCGTCAGGCTCAAGGAGGTCTACCGTAAGAGCTTCAGCCTGAAGCTCTTAATTTCGTGAATCGATTTAATGTTGGATAGTTTTCTAGAGGCATTAGCTCCCACTATGCAAATCCCCTCGAAACTAGCTTTCCAGTAAGGTCGTTATGGTACACGATCCTTCGAAGACCCCATTGAGCTCGACCAGTGCACCATGTTTCCAGGGCAAATTTTCTGATGCCGTCCACGTAGGTGGCCACTATGAAGATTTTCTTATAGAATGGAATGCGCTCTTCAATAATAAGTTGGAACCATTCGGTCTGAGTTGAGCAAAATGTGCTTAAATCCATCTGGAAGTGGAGACAAAATGTCTTTTTTTATTGCCCCCCCCCTGTATAACGCTGATTGGCCTTTTTCAAGACCGGGAAGGACATCTGAACGTGAACGTGAATGGTAGAAATTTGAAGAAATAACATTTCGACACATCACGCAATTCTTGTATGGTTTGAATATATAGCGATCGTTGACGACCCTTAGTTATTATCGAGAGCTTAGCATCAGGATTCTGGATCTTCTTCAACATACGAAGACGCATGACTAGGTTGACGTGCGATTTCGCAATTGGAAGGTTCAGAAGCATGAGGATCCCACATCTGTGCTTGGTCTTCTTCTAGAAAAACGCTTGCCGTGAAGAGGAATGATGCCAGAATAAGTAACGAAAGGAGAAGTAAAAATAGGTTAGGAAATCGATGCAAAAACTTCATCTGCCTCAGGGTGTCCACATAATTTTGATACAAAGAAAAAACTTTCCATGAAAAATAGTTCGCTAAACTAGAACGAAATCTTTTGCCGAAAAAATCACTGTAGGTTATCGACCTGTAGGAGTTGAATGGTGTACCGCAAAGGAAAATGTGGGTCCGTGCCTAGATAGGTCATATTAGCTTGCATCGCACAAATTGCGCGGTTAGGGCGCTAATCCTTACGGGCCTGCAACCATCGACCCCGTTGCAACGCTTCCCACCCACCTGCGATTGATGTAGAGATCAGCGTGCTCTCTCGAAAGACGTGCTCTCTCGCGTGTTTTGTCTTCTTTGGTCGCCCTGTTTCGTCGTCGCACAACATCCAACCTTGCTTAGGGTTCAGGCCTTAATCTGGCGTTTCCGATGGATACTCTTGTTTTTTTTCACTTCTGTTATAGTTCATTCCGCGGCTTAGTCTTTACGTGTAAGTGCTCTTGTACACCACTTTTATCCAGGGGCTTGTAGATAAGACAGCCATTAGAAATAATTTTATTAGTGCTAAACGTATTTCACGTCATCATCAGGAGAACGCTATGCCTGAAAATCCACGAATAGGAAAAAGAATTGAGAATTTGGAAAAGGATACATACGAATACAATCATAGATAATGTTCCGGAGTGCCCAGTAAAGTGCGCGACAATGACGCGAGGATCTCATAAGGTGACCTTATGGCGACTACTCTTCGCATTTTCTCATAAATAAGAGTTGAATCTCTAATGGTTTCATTATCAGTAATGAACAGCTTGTCTCTCGGACCCGGTGGTGAGTGTCGTTTTAGAACACGATAAAACGCCGAATAAATCAAGCAAAAGTAGCCTACTCCGCGTGAAGGTGTGGCATGGCATTATGTCACACAGTCGTCAACGTGCTAACGTACGGACGTACGTAGCGCACACCCCATGGAACACATCGTGGATTACGGCGTAGCGGCTACTCCAAATGCACGCGGGTCAATTGACCGCGGACTAGGCAAGCTTGTACATCCCGTCTGATCTCGCTACTTCCTCATTTCAATGGACCGCTATGACCCCACAAATTTAACACTTTGGAGACCGCGCGTGTTTTACGTTCCGCGGCCGCGCGGGACTTCGGTGAAATTTTTAGGGATCTTATCTAGCAAATTCAAAAGAAGAACCCACTGTATAATGCAGAAGAAATCTTATCGGATAAAATGGAAAAGAAAATGAATGAAAAACCTAATAATTGTTTACGAAATGCGAGCTGAAAGGTCCTATGCGGTCGGAGGACTGCAGCCCACATATGGGCTGCGTGGGCTCCAAGGTGTTAATCTGAGGGTGTTGCTGCTCAAAGCAACACAAGTTTTCTATGAGCTTCGATTCTTTGTCCACTGACTATGAAAGGGACCTAATCAGTATGCCGCAAGAAAGCTACAAATTCCAAAATAGTTTCGCTTGACTAGCGCCATGTTTGGAATAGATAGTTCTAGTTGCCGACCATTTTGGTCATTCATGAGCGAGTCGTGCTTGTTCCACGCGGCATTCCACCTAGAGTGACTCTGGCAAGAATGAAATTGGGGTTACAGCATAGGTCACATTTTTCGGCTTTAGGAACAGCACAACCTGGAGCATCGCGGGTCGGAGTCATCTCACGAGCAACGTATGATCACCATGACTAGCACTACCAATGAGTTC